CCAATACACACACGCAAACATCCACAAACAAAATCATTCTCTAAAAAGAAATAATTAACTGTGACAGAGACGAGTTGGGTTTGCACTTCTACTTCTACGGCCTGTGTAGAAAAACCCGGCTCAGACGTGTGCTCCCTACATTTGAATTTTATTTAATCCTCTGCAGCAGATGTTTAGGCCTACCGATGTTGTTTTTTTCGGGGTGGGGGTGTCTTGAAAAAGCATCAATAAAAAATCTCAGAACACGAGTGGGAGCTCCCTAGTATGGTATGATCGTCATGGTCTGATAAAGCGAACCGGGCCGACACGTTGACGCTTGAACTTTGGGGGTTATTTCCGGGTCAAATTCAACCAATTGTAACTGTACAGGTTTGTGTACGTACACCGGTGGTGGAACGGGTGCTCTGCTGAGACGCTGCTTTCGATTTTTCTTTGCTTTGCTGGCACTTCCCCTCGTGGCTAAAACCACCGGTTCACACTGAAGTTTACACGACACACGAAAGGCACGGTGGTGAAGGTGGTCGCCATGTTACTCTCTGCTACCGTTATTGTCTACGCCCTTCTGAATCTGGTATCAGTTTCAGATGCTGCGAAGGGCCCCAAAGTAACAGACAAGGTAAGTGAAGAACAAAGTAGTGAAGGATCAGAGCAAATTTGACTCTTCATCGTGTGACTAGATTCTAGATCTTCTAGATCTAGAATCTAGATCTAGATCTAGATTCCTATTAGATTAGGCTAGGAGTAGATTCTATTGAGGGGGGGGGGGTAGATCTAGATATCTAGGTTAGGAATAGAGACGATTATGGTTCACTAAAAATGCAAAAGAATGAATGAAAGAAAGTTGCTGGGGGTAGATTCTATGCTTCGGTACGATAAACTACATTCCCTGGGCCTTATTATCATGAAGTTTTAATGAATGAGTTTTTATACTTACGGAGTGTCTATGTACAGGGTAACCGGGCACATGGAGTAGATCTAGATATAAGAATCTAGATCTAGATCTAGAGTCTAGTCTCAATATGATCTATGTGCACGGTAACCGGGCACCGAGTCTTACCTAGATCTAGATAGATCTAGTCTCAGTATTTATGTACACGGTAACCGGGCACCTAGTCTCAGTATCTACGTACATGGTAACCGGAATGAAAATAAATTAATAATGTCAATATTTGTCCTGTGCTGTCACTTGCTGAAAAAAAAAAAGTCACACAATTGTCGGGCTCGCCATCGTGACCGGTCAGTGAACCTGTGCGGGCGCATCACATTGTGAGTACCGGTTGGGGTCACCAAAGTTCATTCATAGTCTGTCCGCTGCGAAAGGACTCTGGGGGGATTATTGATTTTTTAAATTAAAAGATACAGCCGGGGAAGGGGTAGGGATGAAGGCAACACCGGATGACTAAAACTGAACTTGGAGTTCTGGACTGCCCAGTTACCGTGAGAGAGACTACGTGCCCGGTTGCCGGTGACCGTGTACGTAGATATTGAGGCTACATGCCCGGTTACCGTGTTTGTGACACTGAGAATACATGGCCGGTTACCGTGTACGTAGACACTGAGGCTAGGTGCCCGGTTACTGTGTTCGTAGACACTCCGTTATACTTAAGCTGGAAGGTTCCCTTGGTAACAATCATTTACATATTCATATTTCTAGATCTAGAGTCTAGATCTAGTGTAATAACAGCTGGTAGAGTTGGGGCGAGCGGACGGACGGGTTCGTTACTCGCGGACTCAGTCAGAGCGAACGGGTAACAGACGGCCCTGAGAGCGAACTGCGAACCTCAAGACAGTTCTTTTTTTTGGGTCTGCTCCACAATTTGACTCTCTCAGCGAGTGGACTGCGGATCTCAAGCTTCAAGTCAGTTCGTTTTTTGGGTCCGCTCCACAATTTTTTATTCACTGGGCGGGCGGGCAAACAGACGAACTCTAGCAGACGAGATACTCGACGCGAGGTTAGGCCCATGGTCTATTGTTTGTTAATTAGGCCTAATGTTTCAAACCACTAGCGGTGCCACAGGGAGTGAGAGAGGCTGGTGACATAGTACTATGTATGTAACCTTTCACCTCGCGCGTGGGGCACACAGTGTACGTTCCAATTATCGCAAAGGCTGAGGGGGGGGAGAGAAATTTCCGCCATGAACGCCTAGTTACAATGTGAGGCAGTGAGGAGGGTGATTTTTTAATTAATTTTTTTTTGGGGGGGGGGGGGTTGTAAGTTGTATGCAATGGAAGGAGTCGCTCCCGTCTGTCCGTCCGCCCGCTCGAATGCATGGGGTCTCTCGGTCCGCTTGATCGCTAAACGAACTGTTGTCTCTGTCCGATGTGTAGCGAGTAGCAACTACTCTTCAAAACGGACGGTTCGTTACCCGTCCGCTCGTTTGCGGGTAGTGCCACCGAGTAGTTCGTTACTCGCGGACGATAATTTTGCGAGCCCGACCCAACACTAAAAGCTGGTCTTCCTAATTTACTAGCTAGATTCTAGATCTAGGCCCTAGATTCTACAGTCTAGAAATCAATAGACTATAGATTTCTAGATCTACGCTAGGTATAGGCTATGACTTGTATATTGTTGCTTTTTTTTATATAAAAGGAAGGACTTTCGTAACGAGCGATCACCCCAACAAACTAACAAACCCAGTAAAGGGGGCTCTCGTGGCCTAGAGGTTAAGGTGTTGGCCTCTCATTCAAAGGTCCCGGGTTCGATTCCGGGTAGCGACCAAAAAATTTTCTTCTCT